ACAAATTCTGGATTAGTTAGGAGATAACTTAAACAAAAAAAAAATTTGAGCACAAAAAATTAAAAAAAAATTAAAAAGAATTTATTGTCAAAAAATTGGGAGGGTCCAGGACACCCCCCCACCTCCGCCCCTGGTATAACAGCTTGAATTCGGCTTAACGTGTGATAGAAAATGTGTACCATATAGGCGCTAAAGGTTACGTTGAATTCCCTTCCTGGATTATATCTTCTTTATTTTATTTTGATATGAAGTCCTTGTTTGATCCCCATTTTTTTTAAAATACATTTTTCTCTCTCTTCTTTTTAATCACACATTTTTCGAGAAAATAATATTACACGCAATCCAAAATATTTTCCTTCATTTTTAACCACACATTCTACATCGATCCACTATTTCAAAATAAATTTTACACAAAAAATGAGGCTCAAACAGGCCCCAACAAAAAATATCATCACAAGTGGATTTTTTTTTAAAATAAAAAAAAAGTATTAAAAAGTTAATTACAGATACAAAAGTAATATTGCTTCACAAAACTGAAAATTGGAATTCTAAATAACCCCATTTGGTACTCACCTAACAACATTTCGTCGTAGGGCGTCTGTACACTGATGTGTCAACCTCGATGTACAAATAGCATTTTCCAAATAAAAAAGGATGACTAATATTGTGCTACGATTGATAAAGAAAGTCAGTACATAAAAAATGTATTGAATCGAATCTTTTTTAAAATTCGAGCAAATGACTTACGAATGGCCACGTTGATTCCTTAATTGTCGTCAATTTTCGTTCAGAAACATGTTCTAATTGCCTGCACCATAGGGAATAAATCAGTTATGTTGTCCTATCAAGAAACAGTCTGCTTAAATAAACCACTATCAATAATTAAAAAAGTGATTTTAAAATTGAAAAATAATTAATTATGTGGAAGCAGCCTCTACTCAGCAATCATGTTCTTGAAAATGAAATGTCAATGGTCCACTGCTTTTTTTATTACCAACTTTACCATATTATAAGAAATTGATTATGCAAGTAATGAAAAAGGTTA